ATGTGTCATATTAATTCAAGTGTTAAAATTTGCCAAGGCAAACGTCTTAATAAGCATATGAAACCTATGCAAAACTTCCTAAAACTAGATTAAATCTCGCCTAATTACCAAATGTATATGTTCATAGGTATATAATTGTCGGTGTGATAAATTTAGAAATATTGTTTAATAAGCTTTTTCTCCTTTAAACTTTATCGTTTCTAATTGCAGACGATAATAAAAGTAGTTATTTATACTGCTAACATAAACTTAGTCAAAAGATTGTTTTGTTGAAACATTACTGCTATAGTGTAGTGTTCAGAATTTTAAGTTTTTACTGTTCAAGCATGACCTTGTTGTGATTGATTGAATGTTGAAAAAAATGTTGTAGATTTTTGGTGCTTTACCTTCTTTGACTTTTATTTTATTTTTTTTTCTTGTAGACGAAACAGTTGCGATTAGTGCCCAAGAATTTAGTGAAAGATAGTTCAGTTTTTACACATTTTGAAAATCACTCTCAGGACGTAATCTGCGAACGTTTTTATATCGAAAATCACTAGCAATACTTTTTTTTTCATTTGGTTAGCGAAGAATTTAAACGACAGCAGAATCGCACCGAAATTTTATTGTTAGCTTAATGATAATCCGGTTATGCCATACAATTGATCTCTCATATGATTTTTTCACGCCTGAAAGCCTGTTATATTCTCTTCACAGTGTTCTGTCTATCAAAATTTTTTTTGCAACAAACAGTAGTTTTTTCCTTTTAATACCACTATGAAGCCATCAACAATTTGGAATGACTGGAATTAAGAATCAATAAATTTAAAAAAGTGTAAATTATGACTGCAAAATTTGTAACTTGATTCATGTGAAGCGAAACTTTTCAAATCTTCATTTAACTTACTGTTCAGAAAGAAATATGCAGCAGATCAAAAAAAAGTTTCATTTCGCCTACACCAACTGCATCAATTGACCTCTTTCAAAATGCCTACAGAGATAAAGTGCGAAACTATCAAATACATTATTTAAGCCAACTCAAACCTCTGTAAGCGTCACAGTTTCTACCTCAGATTGCCTTAAGTACTAATTAAAAAAAGACTTTCTTCTCAACAATCAAATATTTATCTTTGCGATAATATCAGTAAACCTTAATGCTTTTTAAATCTGTCCACCCTTTACACTAGTTGAGCCTATGATTCCTCAACGTGAAACCAAAGTGAGCAGCAAAGCTCTGCAATCACAGTTCCTTCTGCAAAGGAAACTTTTTAAGTATCATCGCTACCTGACTGGTCACTATCAACTGTGTCACTACACTGTTGAACCACAGAAACAGAAACAAAAATTTTAATCTTATTCAGTTCTTAAATCCATCAGTTGGTCAAAGAAAACTGGGAGGAGAGCGCCTAATTATGTAAATGAAGTGACGATGATAAGCTAATGGCTATGTGATCTGCAAACAGCGGTTTCATATTCCATAAAATCTTCGTGTCTGAATATTTTCGAAAGCAACCAAAATTCATCACTCAGAAACACTAGTTCCGACTAGCACGCACAAATATCCTTCACAAACACTCTTTCAGAAGTTACATTTCAAATATGCATCACTATTTGGGCAAATCTACTCAAAACTTTCAGGGCAAATATGGTCAAATGTACTTTTCACTTGTTTCTGAAGCCTTTGATGCACCTTAAAATAATTTAAAAATGCGCCACAATAATTAAAACTGTAACGTTGTAAAATGCTATTTTCTAATTCGTAGATGGTTTTAGGTGCTATTTCCTTCATTTTCAACCACACGAACACATTAAGCATCCAGAAAACACGAAATGTCAAGTCGCTCGGACCGGTTAGAACGGATTCAAGCATTTCTAAAGCATCGTGAAAGAGTATGTATTTTCAATCATAACATGTATAAATCTGTTATGAAATGTGTAACGTCTGTGAAGCAGTCAACAAATAGAAAATTTTCTTAAAGCTAGGCTTTATAACAATTCATTTTATAAAACAACCTTTGGTTTGAGGTGTTGAATGCAAAATCTGTTATACAAACACGACCAGTACGAAGCAGATCACTTCAACCACGTTCCTTGCAGAAGGTTAGTGGTTCGATTACATTATATGTATACATCATCACTGTAGTAAAGAACCAGCTACTACATCTGTGAAGAACAACTATTGAAGGTGAGAGTCTGTTGAAGAAAGTAAGACCTTCATTACAGTTAATAACAAACGTTTAGGAAGAACTGAAAAAGAAAGAAGAAAAAAGAATTGAAGCTGCAAACGACAAGCTCTTAGAAAGTTTAGTGAAGATATCTCAAAGGAAAAGCTTGTATTTCTAAGAGATAATAAGTGAAGAACGCCATTGAAAAAGGTGTACATATCCCGTCCTATTAGATATCCATTAACAACGCTTTCCAGTTGAATTTGCAACTGCATCCAATTCGTTCAAATACTTGCTCCATTCCTAAAAATATTTGCCAATGGATTCCAAAGTAGTTGCAAGAACAGTTTTCGTATATCTCCAACATTAACTAGATTTACACGTCGTCTAATGACTGGAGAACTGGAAACTTTGCCGTTGTTGTATACTATTTGATGCACTACTAATTGCTGCTTGTAGAATGTTATGCGTGATATAAAACATATATTTATTTAAGACCCTTTTCATTCAACTGAAACATTTTAACTATTACTTCTCAGTCGGTTTCATCATATTGGTGTCCTCAAAATGCTTTACGGTTACAAAAGAAATAGACTGAGAAATAGACTCATAAAATCACAGATCTCACAAAAACGACCCTTAAACGACCTTATAAAACTTAATAAAAAGATTTTCCTCAACACATCTGTGTACACTTCTTCCAAACTACTTAGTTTAAACCCCTCTTTAAGCCTTTTCAGAAAATTCAATCCTTCAAAAAACTTCTCGTTAGAGATTACATCTTCACGTCAAACAGCTAACAAGCTTCCTATTACAAATAATTACAATGTGAGCAATCTAATGACCGTATCAGTTTTCTTTCTACATTTCAATGAACCTATAGGACATATATGACCCATGGTTTTCCCCACTATGTAGAACATTTCTAGAACTAAATTGTACAAGAGAAATTGTTATTTTATCTTTTATTTTTTGAATCATTTCAAAACGCCTATTGATAGGGCTCTGTATAATTTAGGTCCATTAAATATATCATCAGCAGCTGCTATTCTGTAAAAAGATAGTGAAAGTAATGAAAGTCAAAAATATTACTAAATTCGCAAGTTTTAAACGGCTAATCTCATAGTTTAAAACTCTGATCTTCAAAAATGATTAGTGTTTAAGTTTTGAAAGCCTATTTCAAAGTAGAAGGAAAGTTCTGAAAATCCTTTGAAGGTTTTATAAAAACTAAACTTTCATAATATTCCCAGGAGTAGCAAAAGAAGGCGAAAGCGTACCTCAAACATAGGCTCCTCGAAAGGGTTTGGAAAATGTGTTGTCTTCGCTTCCTGTTTATCTAGTAACTGAGACGGTAAGTTGGAAGCTTCGACAACCGCTGAATCAACACTTTTATCTGGTTGTTCAAATAACTTTGACCATTCGACAGCAAATGATTGTGCGTTTTCCGTTGAGTCATTCTGAGCCAATAATTCTGCTAATTCTTGGGGATATTGATTATCTGAAGGTGATATTTAACATTTAATTGGTACAGGAGTGAACAACACTAATAAGCAAGAACTGGCAGAAACTAATAACTAACAAACCTTGATTAGGCACACTCCATCCTGGGGGAGGTGAAATTTTTGGAATTTCACTATCTGATATGTATTTTTTGGGAAGTGGGCCTATCGGTATTACAGAAGGTTGCTCATCCGTTTTAATGCTGTCAGATGTACTATCTGGTTCGCCTAGTGGACTCTCCTCTCGTTCCAGAAGTATCCCAAGCGGAGTCTTATTCTCTTCATTAATAATCTCAGCTTCTGCAGTGTCTTGGTCTACTGCTTGTAGATCTTTGCATTTCTCATCTCCTCCCAAGTCAATAAGACTAAAATTTAACAGTTATCCATGGCAACACTTGAGGAGGGTCAAAATTCACTGGAAAACACTATAACCTTGACGTTCCAGCAGTTCCGTTATCCGCCTCGCTTCCGCCTTCTTTGCTTTCATCTGCATCTGACAAGTTCTGAAACAACGACTATACCAATCAGTTCTTGAAAATGAAAAAAGTCGCTTATTAGTCTTCAAAAAACGCGAGCGATATGGATTTCAGCAATGTAACAAGCTTTTCCAAAAATTTTTTGCTAGTTAGTCTCCTGACAATTAAGAGCTTCCACAGTTCCACACCTTAAAAAGCCGAACAGATATTAAAGAAAGCTGAGTCTGAAAATACTTGGCTACAAAAATACCTCTTCTGAGCAATTTCTTCGCAGTCTTATACGAATATCACAGATAGTATCATGTAAATTAAATCTCCTTCTTTGAGATAATTTAAGTTAGGTAGCAAAACTCCCTCTTCTCTTCATAACCTAGGAGTAATACGAAAACAAGTAAGCATGCAGCCACTAGCAGAAAAAGGGAAAAAAACTAAACTAAGTAGTGCAGGTCCTCAGTACCAAACTGATAGCTCATTACCTAAATCAGAATGCAACCTGACGTAAAATATTCTGTAGTGATTTGTCAAGATAATCAGTTAACAAAATCGTTCAAGTAAAAAAAAATGGATACACTCTACCACAAGACAGTCTCCATTAAAAAGATTTGCTAACCCTTTCCTATACCAACTTTAACAGCTACACTAAACCGAGAAAGATGCACAAAAGATATGGATTTTTATATTTAAAAGATGTAATTAGGATAAGTGAACAAGATTCTGCACTGTACTTCATAATAATGTTAAACTATATTCTCTATGACTAGAAAAAAACGAGTGAATAGATTTCAGCAAAACATGCAAATGAGCTCTTCTCGTCTCTCAGTTTCACTTTCCTATGAAACACCATCTTTTTGAGCTTTTCAAACAAAATATTTTTGGTAAAAAACCTTTAAATTCAACAGAGTTATTTCAGTCCGCAAAACTATAATGTATTCTAAGGTTTCTCTAGAACTTTACCTCTATCACAATAACAGGAAGAAGTAGTTTTTGATAGACTTCAAGAAAACCAAATTAGAATGTTTTCTCTGACCAGTGAGAACTATCTTACACCTGACTACACTTTAAAAGAACTTTGAAAAGATTATTTGCTCAAATTGTCACAAGACTCATGAAAGACTTAGTAAATGTTCTTTAAAAAAAAACAAAATCTAACAAACGCACCTTTAAAATTTCAAAGTGGTACTTTTTGCAGTTTTCCACAAAATCATAGATCCTTGCATAAGCCAAGGCGGTTTGCTCATAAAAATTGTACAAGCACTTCTGATAATTCTCAAGAAGCTAAAAAAAAAAAATGTAACCTCTCCTTCTTCACAGTTCTTACCAACTTTTATTGATCTTTCCCTTAAAAACCTAGCTGGTGAAATTCCTCTTCCGCTTTAAAAAAGTAAACTGTTGGAAAAAGCAAAAAATAATGTCACACAGTAGAGTAGAAAACAACCTGAGCAAAAAGATTACAGCGACTTGCAGCAAGTAAATCCACCTTCTGCAATGTATCCATTTTTAAGCCATCCAATTTCTCTTTGTTTTTACGCACAATACTTTGGGCCTTCCTGAACTTCTCGAGTGCATTTTCTGCGTCGGGATCAAGCTAAACATATGGTTATTTTACGAAATTAATTCAGTACTACTTTTTGTTTGCATGTTATTAGCTTCGAAATCGGCTTACTTTTTTATAATTTCAAAGCAATGCCAGTAATCGCTATCCTAAAAATTTTACTCCATAACACAAATGTGTACGAATACAGACTTTAAAGCGAATTACGAACTAGCTCGTAAAAGCTAAAAAACGAAAACCTCAACACTGGTTTTCTTCATCCAAAGCAGAGAACCGCGATATTCTATTTGAGCCTTTTCAGCCGCCTCAACTGTAGACATACAGTCAAGGATTGCTCTGTCGGTAAATACTCGCAATTCTTCCATAAAACGTATTAACGGAGCACGAATTTTTTGCCTCAAACACACTTAGCATCCATTTCAAATTCTGTGATTTTTAAGAAAAGCTATATTGAGTCTTCTCAAAAAAGTTAAAGCATTCCGTTTCCTCATACATTCCACACACATTTCTGGATGCTACACACTTTTCGGATCCGAACTACCAAAATTTTGGTTTTCTGTTTCACCTACCTGTAACTGGCAGAAAGAGTCTGAACCTTCCCAACAGCAGTCAAAGCTTTGCTGGTGTCTCCAGTTTCACCACGGCTTTTATCATTTAACATGTCTCCAAGACTAACCTCAGTCTGCGTTAATTCTGAAAAATATGAACCATAAATCCTGAACGCATACCGTTACCTCACTACTGCAGCCTATGACTCATATCAACTGCCAAATTTAATAAATCTGTCATTGCCATCTACACCTAATCTTCTTTGACCTCTCTCGTGACAGAACAGCGAAAAGGTGACTACTTTTAGAGCCACCATTGCGTAAATGATAGAGAATATTTCCACAATTAGGTGTAGACAAATCACCGGAAAGCAATCTTTTTCTGATAATAATTTGAAGATAGAAGTGAACTTTTTTACTAAAAATTTATGCCTTATCATCCCCTATCAAATTTACAATTTCAATGTAAAAATGTAATGTGCTGTATGACGGATAGGTAAGTTTTGCCAGAAATAATTCCACGGTTCAGCTTCACTAAGGTGAGGCATAACCCAGAACGAGGTTTTGCAATGTGAGAAATGCAAGTTCTTTACAGAGCCTGTGCTACGTTAAAGCAAAAGTTATCAGAAGTTTATAGCTATAGCAACAAATGATTAAAATCCAAAAAATAATTTAGTGCATCAAGAAAACTACCGACAACAGAAATTTGAAAACAGCAGCCTAGGCATTTTCCAAAGATTTTGATAACTTTCATTTTCCAACTATTAATAATAAGCACCTGCGTTGTATGTTTTTTGACACATCAAGTGAAGGCTTACAGAAGGAAAAGGCACTTAGAGACTGTTCAGCTTAGCAAATGCGTTTAAAAGGTTGCACGACCTCAAGCAGAAAAACTGCATTTTATAAACCAGTTTCCCCATCAATTTAAATAAAGCTTCAATGCAGGAGTAATGTAGTAGCACTCGTGAGCAAAAAACAAAAGACCTAACACTTCCTGGTCAGTTTTTTATTCGTGTCCATAAACAAGTGAGTTAAAAAAAGAGGAAAACTGGACCAAAAATGATGTCACGAAATTCAAGAAAGTCTACAAGCAAAAACTTCTTTTTTGCAGGAAATTTAATCGAGGGCCTTATTGAATAGCAATTTTACATCTGAAAGAATTCTATTTCCGTCAGAAGCTTAATCATATCGCCATAATTGTGCACTGTAAACGAACAAAAAAAGGTGGACAAGTTTTTCAGAACAAAAATAAACAATGGCCAAGAGTGGGGAAAGACCGATTATAAAAAGCACTAACAGGAATGTTACGATACCTCCAAGATAATGTTGATAATCATCAATGCAGGCCAACATCTGTTCAGAAGTCACCTGAAGTGATCGAAAAAGGTTTACTTTTGCATCAAATTCGGCATCGGAGGCTAATAAATGCTCATCTTCCTAAAAATTGTAAAAGTTCATGAGAACACTAGAACGATATTGAGGTTACACGAAGCAACCTAAATGGACTCTTCAGCAAACGAAAATTTAACTTTAAAAAATTCAACTAGTAATTTTCAGGAAGCATTCTGCTTATGGCAACAGGATAGAAGCAGAAGAGCATTAGAGTGCGTCACTAAGAACAACACTTTTTGAAGAATATAAACTGAGAACAAAAGTTAAAGAAAACTCCAACAGAAGAAATTGAAAAATACTTTTTTGCCCAATTTTTTGCGTATCAGTTGCTTTGCTGTCCAGTACTGCGCCTGCATTCTTGTTAGTGTTGAGTCATCAAAACGGTCAACAAAGCGATCGGAGTTCAACCCGCTAAAAATAATGATTCGATCCTAAGCAGCGTTATTAACAACTATCACGATTGAACTGATGTAAACAAGAAATGAAAGACTGCGGCATAACTATTTTATATAAACACCAGATAACTTCAATAACAATTAAAATCATTAATATACAGAAATAAATAATAAACCAGATGGAAACCTGGTAGATGATTCGTACATTCGGGTCGAACTCATAATTGCTGTTTAACAACAGCTATATTTCAATCCAGTCACTTGTGGTTTCTAACCTCAAAAACGAGCATAAAAACCATTGGCTGTTCAGCTCTTACTCTTTGTGATGAACACAGCAGTGCGAGAGAGGCGGAAGTAGTCTACTGTAAATCGAATTTTACAACAAGTCAGTAGCGCGTTCCGTTTTTTGGACCCTTATATTTATTTCAGTAATTTTAAATTTTAAATGATTTTATCCTCCCACTCGAAACACTCATTGATTTAAAAAGACACCGTGCTATATTAACCTACCGTTGCACCTTTGCAAACCATTGCTTCCAAAAATGGCAAAAACCGACCCAACAAAAGGAAAAAATATCAAATAAACGCTTTGTAAGAGTAATGTGGACCTTACGATAGATTCTGAATGAATAATCCCAATAAATTCTACCAAACTGCTACAATTACTACGAATGGCCAATAAGAATACTGTTCATCCCTAAAAGTAACAAACAAAAGAGAGTCTCGCGGTTGGATGAGACCGCGTAACGAACGCAAAAACTAAAAAAAAATATAACAAGGCATTCTGTAAGTATTTTTGCCTAAAAAAGCTAATATAAACGTTTCTGAAACAGTTCTCATAAATAAACTGCAAACTTGCAAGTCTCTGCCTTTTGGAAGCACAGAGAAAAGGAACAACCAACGAAGAAATAAACTTCAAAAAGGGGAAGAGAACGAGAAAATTCCGACCTAAGATGAAATGCTTACCAGTTCAAAATTAAATAAGACGTGAAAATAGGTGGTCAAAAGAGAGGCAAATGAAAACGAAAGCCTCCTAATCCAAGGATACAAAGTGGAGCCCTTGAAATGAATGTACCAAACAGTTTACGTGGAAGACAATGATTTTTAAAAGCAGTAAGGAAATGATGAATTTTTTGCATGCACTTTTTTCCCCTCCGTTAATACTGATGTCCTTAAAATGTCATAAATATGTCTGGCATGAATGCACAATTAAAGAAGCAATTTTTGGGTTTGAAAAACCGCTATATTAACATCGCTACCGTTAAACACTGCATTCAGAATTCCTGAATACGTCGAACAATTTCAGGTAACAATCTGCAAATGTTGATTCAATTCAACTATTATTTCAAAACATATATGCTGCTTTATAAATTGACAATGCACTTAACAAACACGTATTTGATCCACCAAAAGAAAAAAAAAGCAACGCGATCTTCCTTATCGTTTAGAACAATTTTTTTCTACTGTCTAAAGAGATTATATATTCCAATAAATTCAGAAAACATAGTTCAGAGTACAAAAAGCAGTTTAAATAAAACTAGCAATCTTTCTAGCTTTGAAATATTAATAATTCAAAGTCATGATGTTGTTATACTTAACGGCTACGCATAACACTTTTCTATCGACAATTGGGTCCGCCTTAATTTTTTTTCAGTTCATCAAAAATTTTTTACAACAGCCTTTTTTGATGGAGTGATTATTTCTGTTTTAGAAAACAGTCAAAAAAAAAAAATTTTTTTTGCATCTGAAATTTTACTAGAAATGGATTGCGTACTTACCTAACAAATACAAAAGTGTTCCCAGAAGGACAGATTCATACTGTTGTCACTTTTTTTACGACTTGAAATACTACATCGTAAATGGACTGAATAAATGGTTGACAAAAGCAGCGGTATTTAAACGTTAACAGTTAGCTGAATGCAACTATCCAGCTCTTAATCAGACAACTGCCAAAGCTGTAACATCTTGGACCGCTCAATTCCGGTTAGTCGTTGTGGCGAAACACCAACGGCAAGCCAACAAAGCTGCCGCAACGCTGTCCAGCTGTTACGCCCCACAACTTTGTGCTTGATGATGATGCTGCTAGCTGATGCTTTTTTTTCATGCCCGGTTGCTCATGCATTATATCTCCCATCTATGGCTCTCGGTACGAAAAAGCCATACTTTTGGCATGCTGCCAAATTGGTTCCGTAGCTACTCTGATCTGTTTGCTTATTTCTTTTACCATTTACAATCCAGGAGTTTTGTGACTTTTAGGAGAGTTGTGTCTGAACCTTGCACGGTGCTTCCATCAGCTTCATTATCATTTTGACAACAAATAATTGATGTTATTTTGACAACTTTTCTCACAATTCCTGTCTATATTCATTCCGAAGAATCTGACTGATGTCCAGGGCATACTGTTTTTTGTCAAACTGTGATTTCGGATAGTGTGAGAAGCCGGACGACTGTTCTTTCCCAAGATTCAGAAGCAAGCACTAATATTGAGTATCTTGATCGCCTCTCATAGTATCTAGAATGAGGAAGGCAAAACTTGTCTTTGATTTTTGTGGGATCGAGCGAGTTTCTGACTCTTCACCACCCATGAATTGGTTGTTATTGCTAATTTTGGGAGTGATTTTCTTTTTTTGCTGAATTTTCGTCATTTCAGGACATTTTCTGCTTTTGTGTGTCACAAGTTTTTTTAAATGTTCACAGCTAGTTAAATGTTGGACAAAGTGGCGGGTGACGAGCAGCCAGTATATTCATACTCATTCCTTACTTTTGTTGACCTGAACCCGGTTGTTGCGTTCCCTTGGCAAAAGATTAGTGGGATCCTGTAAAGCAGCTTTTTTGCCAAGATCTAATTTACTGCTAATAATGCCGTGGCGTTTATTTGTACAGTAGGCTTGCTATTGAGAAACGAAATCTACTCCCAACTAGTGTTTTAGACCTCGAAATTATGACCAGTAGAGAATCTCAAATCATTTTGACTTCTGTTTTCTTGACTAATAAGTCTCAGACAAAACTCTTTAACCTGACACTGTTAAATACTGAGGGTTCGCCTTGTTCTTATGCGCAGTTAAAATCCCAGCCATATTTTTGGTATTTAATTAAAATGTTGCCCAACAGAGCGGTGAAGTCTTCCTTTCATTCGGCCGAAATATGAGCAAAACCCATCTAGTCTGCCTTTTCGTATTTCTTAAACTCTGTGGAAGCTAACACAAGCTAAATCTACTGTAATGTATGTTCTCTCTGCTACCCCAATAGGTTGCTGAATAACAATTCCTCTTTCGACAGCACTTGTGCTTCTCCGTAAATTTTATAAAGGCCCTATTAGTTCACAGACATTTGCAACTCTGCTTGGCTGTAATTTTCGGAATTTTTGAAAGTTCAACCATCTCCCATGTAATAAAAGAATTGTTTTATGCTTTCACACATGCACCTCCAAAAGAAGCGAAGTTTGTATACTACAATGCAAAGAAGTGAAGTTTTCTGACAGAATTCTGGCAAAAAAAACTGGCTTTGTAAAAAACTGAGAAGCGAAAGGAAAAGGTCTAATATATAAATGCAACCGCAGGTATTCAAGCGAACGAACGCATTTGAGGAAAATTTGTAATCATGTCTTTCAATTTCAAAAGAAGCACTAATTCAGTCACCGTGGTAACTTTTCCCCAACGCAGCTCTCACAAACTGTACAACTGTTAAAAAGAGAACTCTGTAGCTTGGTCTCACTGACCATATCATTGTTAATGAAAATTGTTTCATATGGACTTTTTTTAATCCAAGCGTAGCCAAACCCAGAAATCATTACATCTTGCAGTGGTTCACAATTCAGATTAAACTTTATTTCTCCGTTTTCTCGGCAAAAAAAGGTTCTGAGACGCAAAGGTCAGAATGCATGACTTTTTTTATTTTACAAACAGCAATGAACTGGCTAGTCCAAAAAAGCATACGAAAAAATATAGGTTGAAAGACAAATCTTAGCGTCCAATATGGAAAATAAAGGAGTTGAGAAAAAAAGAGAACTGTTATATCAACTTAACACCAAAGTCAGCATCCAAAACTCAGTTGAAACAAAATTCTCATTTATCACCCATAAATTGAGACAAAAATCATTATCACTCAACCTACATTACTTTCCTTACATATTTCACAATTATTAAATGTACTGTACCATGTGCCACATTAACCTTTAAGAACATTTGTCCTCATTTACAAAGCACCACAGAGAAAGGGCGAAAGGACTTGTAAATTCAGAAAAAAAAAAGTTCCACTTATAGCGAAGGAAGTTTATCGTTTCTAATATGAAAAAAATCTTCTAAAAAACTTAGGATATGACGCTGGGGAAAAAGGAGCCGCTAGTGTTTTTACATATGAATCATGCATGCTTCACATGGTCGGGTTAGAAAGTATGAGGAAAAAATAGCCTAATAAAAAGTAATGGAAGAAATGATTTTTCAAAGGGCCACAATAAACCAAACCAACGTTGCCTGGGAACCCCTTCACAAGCCCCGGCACCTCTCATTTTATGGGCAAAACTCGAAGAGACTAGAAAATGCAGAAGCTCAACCGCAGCCCCCCTATTTTCAAATCACCATATTTCCACTCAATCGTAATTTAAAATACGTGGTTTTTTTCGAGGAAATTTTAAAAAAGAGAAGCTACCTTATCAAGCTAATTTCAAGTGGAACTTGCATCACATGGACCTAACGAAATAAAAAGAAAATCACAACCACATTCGTGACGCGAATTGGAATACTGATCGAGGAGATCCCGAGGGTCAGGAAGAGATTAACTCGTTAACAAAGCTGAAAGTTCAACGATATAAGGTCCTAGAAACTTTCAGTTTATTTTAGTTAACAATGTTGAGAAGTATTCATCATACTGTTGCATTGCAATACACCAACTGTAAACGAACGATTCTTAAAATTTTAGTGAAATTCTTAGGTTAATGCTAAAACCCTCCAATTATTTGAGAAACAAATTTAGTTTATCCGTCACTCATTGCAACCTTTTTGAATACGCCGCGTGAAAATTCAGGTGACAAGTTCCTATTATGAAGAATGTTTGTATTCGTCAAATAGTTACCTCTGGGTGTTTAGTACAGATGTTGAAAGCAATAGGACGGCAGGAGAACTTTGAGAGCTGAACTTTTCATTAAAACTGGAAAGTGCGCGGGATTCCTCGTAAGTAGCGCCTCCTATGATAAATATAATAACATAGTCCGTCCTACTGCTAAAATTAAATCATTGCGGTTTGAGCTACGAAAAAGGAGAGGCAGCATTAACTTAGTAAGGAAAACATACGCAACTGTGGGAGTAACATGAGGGTAAGCAGGTTCACTTAAACGGCCTTTGGATAACGCATCAATTAATTGACAGATGTATGGTTCATGTTGAGTATAAATATTCTCAACACCTTTCAAGCCCTTAATGAATCTTTTGGTCATAGCCATTGCAGACCCTCCAAATAAGTTATTCTGTCGTCGAGCGCTTCCTGCATACTCCAGCACCTTGTTCACAGCCTGTATTTACCGATAAAAGCCACAGCGCAAGAACCATAAATCAAAACAAGATATGAATCATAGCAATGACGTATTACAAACTTTTGGAGCCTTCAACTGAGTTACAAAAAACTTTAAAGGAAATCATTTAATTACACTAATGTAAGAGCCATTAATTCCTTTTTCTCTGAGCAGTTGTAGCAGAAAGCTTGTGTCATTGCCGCTGTGCTTCTCAAATCGCAGAGCGTAAAGCATTACTAGTCTACAAGCGTCCTGCAAAAAATTACTTGCAGTATTTTTAACCATAGCGTCACAGAAAATGTAAATGAAAAAGGAAATAAAAGTGGCGATAAAAACCAACAACCCAAATACGAAAGTACAATCTAGAAAGAAAAAATTTGTGAACAAAAAATGTACAATGTATCACAAACTATATTTTAGTTTTTATTTACCAAAGTAGTTATTTAATGTCAAAGCCCGTGCGTTTTCTTCTCTTTTTTCAAGAACCCCCCTAAGCATCTTGTAATCCGAAATCGAACTAACTTACACTACGTTAAAAATTTAGAACTGGCTGTACAAAAAACTAATATTTCATGATAAAGAATAACAACTACTACGCATTGGAAACTCAAGACAAAAAGCGAACTAACTGCTCAACAAGAGAGCAGAAGAACAAAAATCCTACGAAAAAAAGCTACAAAATCATAAGTATAGAGCAATTTTTGTAAGCATACAATGTCAGTTATTTGCGACATCTGTAGCAAACGCTTAACCGCATTTAAGCACTGCGAATGTTCGCCATCTCCTGCGATTTGCTGCTCCGTTTCGGAAACTTCTAAAAGGTTGCGACTAGCAACTATACGTGATAACTCCCCCACCACGGCGACATGTTTCGAAACTGTTCCTAATAAAGCCTCATGATGAGCACACTAAAAATTAGAAAAGAGACCAAAATGAGTAAAATAATAGTTTACTTTAGCAAAAAAATTAAGTTAAATTCCATTGCTTTTAAAGTTCATAAAAACAGTTCAATGGCAATAACCTTAAAAATTTCTATTCACTAACCAGATATCCTTTTAAACTGCGGATACTGTTCAATGAAGGCCTTCATGTCAGATATAGATTCAAGCCTTTGGTTGGTCTGAGCTCGTTGTTGATACTCTGTCATTAACACCTTGATATTCTGTCCAATTTCACCAAAATTAACGTATACATTCTAGAAATCAGTGTCGGCTGAACCCCTTTATTTTCCCTTTCCTTTATTCAAAAGTATCAAAGTAAAATGTACAATTAAAAGTCAACTACGGCTATTTTCAAAAAAAAAAAAAAA